TTTGAATGACCACTTCCAGAATTTAATTTGGGCAACAATGCACAGAGTGTTCCATAATTGGCACCTTGGAAGATCAGAAAATATAAATTACAACATCCTCTGAGGCTGGTGATTCCATAGCTTTTGTCAGGGGTTGTAGAATACTGCAGTCCTAAAATTCAGTGCCAGATATACTTAGATCACTAACCATTTTCTCTGTTCAGACAAAGGGGGTGAAAATGTGAAGGTTGCTTATTTCATGGTCCAGATCAGAGTTTTAAAGTAACTAAGTACAAATACTTCTTTACTGTACTTAGTAGAATAGTAGAATATTTGGGTATCTGTACTTTACTTGAGTAATTATTTTTCAGCATACTGTTTACTTATACTTCTTACATTTTCACACAATTATCTGTAATTTCTACTCCTTACATTTTTAAAAAGGCATAAAGTAGAAAGTTGTTGCTTTTATTTCATTTTTTAAATTCCAGCTTGTTATTCAAAAAAATAAATTAATACTATCCATATAAATTGTGCCTCCTAGATAGAGTGAATGTAATTATGGTTGAATAAAAGTGCGTGTGTACATATGTACACATGTACATATAATTCTAATTCTGAACAAATTAGCTAAATATTGGGAGAGGGGTGAACTTGGACAGGAGTGGTTGAACATTGAAACAGATATTTGTGCACCGTCCAACCCTAAAGATAAATTATCCCAAAGAATTGACACAATGAGTCCAGTTTTTATTCATTCATGTGAAGTTTGGTCAAATGTACATAAGTTGTTTGGGCTCTCTCACCAAGTAGAAAAGTATGCATCTCWATGGAATAACCCTGCTATATGTATTGGTAAAACACCAGTGTTGTGGAAACAGTGGCATTCTTGTGGAATATATACTATTGGTGATATGTATAAAGATGGTCATTTCATGTCTTATGGGGTCTTATGTTAAACAACTGAGTGGTGCACTACTGCTACTAGTGGTGAGGTGAGATGCACTTTATTCAAAATCAATGCGGTCCCATGGCCCTCTGCGGCCCGAAGTTAAAAGCTGTTGTTCTTTTGAGGCCCTCAAGGTGGCGCTCCCGGCCCAATTGTGGGCCCATGGCTTAAGAATCTCTGCAGCAGAAAATGTAATTATAGATTATTTTAAGATGCCAAACAAAAATCATACAGCTTCTCAATTTTATAAATTGTTAAATTATAATCTGAGTGAAGAATTTCTTTTTGATTTTTTACCTGGATTACTGAGATGCATCAGGACATCTTGGAGTTTCTGAGTAGCTGGTCTAACTCAGAGGTCCCTCAGACCCCAGAACTGTGTTTGTTGGGGGACAGATCTCAAACGTCGGATACTTCAAAAATAATTTTATGGTGTCTTGATCGGACTCGTGACAACGGCCATGATAATTTTGAGACACTGGAAGACCACAAAGAACCCTGAACTGAATGAATGGATTAAATCAATGGCAGATATGGCCTCTTATGACGCCATGCTGGGAAATTTAAAGGGAAATAAGGATAAAAAGGAAAAAAATTGTATAGGTCCTCTGGACAGGTTCTTCTTTAATGAAACGTTTCGTCTCTCCTCCAAGAGAC